GTATCTCATCAGATAACAGAATTTTTTTTCCCCTCTGTGTACCAAATGAATTTCTTTCCAATCATATTGAAATTTAAGGTGTGGGAGAAGAAACCACACCCTGAGCTTCTCAAACTTCTAAATCCTACATTTCCTGTCATCTCACAATTTTTTATTTCTGGAAAAAAAGAAAAAAGTTTTCTATTGACAGTTGATCCCTTCTGTGGAGAACTTATTTTTGAAGGAGCCTTACACAGCACTCAAAGTGTGGAACTTCTATTGAGTATTCATCTTTTCTAACAAATCTTTGTTTTTCAGTCCTTCCCTGCAGTATTCCCTTCAGCATTCTCGGGTGTGACATCTAAGGGCTGGATACTCATGTTTGAAATGGAGGAGTAGACACAATGCTCAGTCAGCACTGTGGGTACGTTTACCTGCCTATACTCTCCAAAGAGCTTTCCTTAGCATGAAAGACATGCAGCAGTCCAAAGACTGAACACAGCAAAACGCCCTACAAGAGAAGTAATTCTTCTACCCGTTCCCATTATTAAAGTGTGTGTCCTGAACTGTCTTAAGTTCACACTCATCAACAGTACCCTCACAACATATCAGTTCACTGCGTTCATGAACAAAGTTAGGAGCAATGATGTGATACATAGCAGAAAATTTCACCTTGTAAGATTTCAGTTACTTGAGAGGGCTACTTGGGTTTCTTTAGAAAACCAGATCTATGAGACAAGTGATTGGCTTCTCCTTCCTCAAGTAGCCCCCATGAAGATCAGCATATCTTTTTCCACAAGCTTAAACTAATAAGCTGTTATTGACTATGTGTGGGTATAAATGGATTGGAAAATGAAGTCACCAGAACAGACAAACCAAAATTATTAGGCTAGCTACAAAGTCTGTAGCATAAAATATCCTGAATATGTTGATTGCACTATTAAAAAAAAATATATATAATTTGAGATGTTTTTGTACTGCATTTTAACCAGTTTTCTACAGAATCTCCATTATTAGGGGTAGCATAAATAAAGTCAGTGTTAATAGGAGAACAAATGAGCCCCCAATCTCATTGCTAAACAGTAGAAAAAAAATTAAAAAGACAAACCATTTTATTTTGAGGCAGCTCTCATCTTCTATTTCATAAAGAGAAAACCAATATGGGTAAGTTACTACACTGAGCCATGGAAAACACAATAACCATTTCAGTGAAAATCAGTTCTTGGCATAGCTGCTGCTCACTGTCATAGAAGACCCTACACAACTTAAAAGTCCCTCCAGGAGCAACTCTATTGATAAAGGAGCCCTTCGTGTATGTATTTGAAATCAAATTAGATTAGGAGTCTGCAGGAAGTCTTCTAAACCTGCTTGTGAGTGAATGTACTCCTTCATATTGCCTTCTACTATGTTAAAACCCCCGGAGACAGGGCAGGACACTGTAGGAATATGTTTGATATATAGTTGGATTAAATAACAACCTAATATATCAAACATATCACACAGAGTCCTGCAGAAAAAGGCATCCAGGTTTGATTCATCTTGGGGGAAAAGCAAAAAAAGGACAAACTGCTGAAAGCTAACAGCAGGGAACTCTTACTGACTACTAAAAACACTTGCGTTTGAAGGCATAAGCTTGCATAGAGGCATGAAGAGCATACCAACAGAATAGGGTAGGTACAGCAATGCTCTCTCTGCTGTTGCACCTCATCTACCACATCCTTAAAAGTGTTCTTTTTCCAGTATTAGTGAAGCATGTAGTTCGTATTAGAGAAAATATTTTTCTTCTTCAAAAAATTATTAGTTTTGGGGGGTTGTTATTTTACAGCCAGTGGCATATTTGCATAACAGGAGGAATATGTGGCTACATTGCAAAACACTTGACCCTCCAAAAATGGAAAACAGGAAAAGAGAGTCCATGCTCAGGAAAAATGTAATTGTATTTAAAGGAATATCACAGCCAAAACTTACTTAATAAACAATAAAGATCTCATTGCTTCACAGATCATTCCCCACCTTGAACACTGCAATGAGAATACTGAACAGGTTTTGTGTTACAGGGAGTAGTAACACCACCTACTTAGGAAAGTCCTAAAGTGCTTGCAAGATATAAGCTGAGAAGACAGACAGATATTAACAGGGTATCACTGGGGCAGTGGACTAGTGGACTAAGCATTTCAGGAGCACATTCACCAGCAGCTAGATGACCACAATTTAAAGCAAACAGAATGTGCATCATATAATAAAACATAGGCAGCAGTTCGCAGGTCTGTGTCTTATTAGAGATTCTTCTCTGGGATAAGATGATTCCCAATAGTGCAAAAAAAAACCCCATCTCATGCTATTGGTCTCAGTCCAAGACATGAAGAGGGTACAATAGGTGCAAAAATATAAAGAGAAAACAAGGAAAAAAAGAATTAAAAAAATCCAAAAGTATATAAAAAAATTAAGGTAGTGGAACAAATGAGAAAAACACCCCCTATCTTCAACTATTGATTTTTTTCTTTAGAGGTAACAAACTGGAACGTGCAAAGATGAAATCAAATTACTCCCACTCCCTGCCCCAATAACAGAAGCTTACCCAAAAATAGAGAATCAGCCACCAATTAATAATGATGAAGATGATGGATTTCCTGCAGGCAGATTATTCTAAAATTACCAACTACGGAATTCTCTGCAAGTTCACTTGATGATGATTATTGTTAACCAAAGCAGAATATCGGTCTAGCTGGACCAGCAGTCTGTTCCAATGTAGAACATAGCTACTATTCCTGCATTTCATAGACTAAGCATAAGAAAAATCAGTTGTATCAACCTCCTTACCTAGTCTAGGCATTCACAGTACAACACTAAGTATGTTGTCAAAGATGAGTATCAGAAAGACAGAGCCTGTTCAAAGCAGGAAATCCTACTTTGGGAGGATACAAGCTACAAGTCTTCAGCAGAAAAAGGGGTGTCTGAGTCACTCTGTGATCTTCCTAGTTCCTTTAATGTGTATTACAATCCATATTGTGAAAAGGATTAAACATCTAAAAAAGGATGTAAAGGGCTGTTTAAATCCCCAATTAAACAAAGAGTTGGATATGAATTTTAGTTTCAGAAAATGACAAATAAACAGACCAATAAATCACAGGCAGACGGGATACTCAAATTAACATGTTAAATGAGGAGCAGGTGTGAGATCTGTATTCACTGGGAAATTACAATGACCCTGGAGTGGCTTAGATGTTGGAAAGAAACTGCTCCATGGTTACTAGGCAACACACACATGCTATTGTGCAGTGATTGTATAGAAAAGGTGATGGAGGACTCTTCCTCTCCTCAGACTCTGCCTGTGTCCTCTGCTCTGTAGAATCTCATTATAAAGGACCATTTTTCTTTATAAACAAAATGGATGTACTTGTTTAAAAAATGCAGGACAAAGAGCATTTCTTTTTCATGAGCTAATTTATTCCCATCATTAAGCAGGGGGGGTGTGGGAGGGGGGGTGGGAAGTCCTCAAATAGTGAAGCAACCAAGAACTATTTCATCTGATGTTCCTGAATGACAAAATACCACCCTGCACCAAAACACAATCACCCAACACTGAGTGTTCTTGAGGCCCTGCTTTTTAGAAAGACTTCTCATCAGCTTTACTTAGAAAGCAGTTTTGCACCTATGAAGCAGCATAAACAGGGAAATAGATACATAGTCCTTTCCTGAAAGCAATTACACAGCTAAAGCATGATTTTCATTTTAAAGAGAAACAATTCTAGGCATACAGTAATTTCTTCTAAAACCTGCCTGTTATTCCACACTAGGCAAAAGGTAGCAATTCTCTGTGATCCAGTCTTATGAGCTATGTGTAGAACCAAGTAATGTCAGCTTCATATATTCCCTCTGTACCATGCATGAAAATAGTTGGCTTAATTTTGCATAAAATAATCAGAGACACATTTGAAATGACCTGGCAACATGCAACACTACTTGCTTTCATAATGAAGTGTAATTTATTTTCCTTCAGGAAAATTAAATAGAAATGGTCATACCACATATCTGATTTGATACTGAAGCAGCTACTCTTTTAGCATGGCATAAAATGCTATGTTTTTAATCTTAGAAAACCCTGAAGGTCTTTGGCATTCTGTTGAATCCCTTCTGTGTTGCTGCTGCTTTCTCCTGCTATACTACACAAATTCAGATGAGAACAAAGGGTCTTCAAAGGAAAGCAAGTGAGAATGACTTTTAACATCCATAAAATGTGTTTGGAAATAAAAAAGTAAATAATCCACAGTAGTGATACAGTAAGACTAAAAAGCATTTCTAACATTTGGCTTTTCTTCTTTTGCTTGCTCATGGCTGGTGCTTGACTCACTCTGAAAAACATCTTTTTACCCTGTTCCTTCAGGGGTAAGTCCCATCCAGTGCAGTGTCTAGTGGCACTGAGACTGATGCAAGGTTTGATTGTTACTGTCCATAATACTGGTGTAAACAAAGTGTACACCAATATATAGGCCATATGCATCTTCTGCTTTATTAACTTCAAAGAAACAACACGATGGACACTCACCTTTGGCTTGGCTCTTGGTTTCAGCTGCTCTAACTTCTTTGCTGCAGCCTCAATTGATGCTGCAGCCCCTAGTAACTCTGTCTCTGCAATGACTGTTGGGTCTTCTGGATCCACCCACTCTGTCCCTGAAATTAATGGAGACGAAGACAATAACTTCAGTGCCACTGTGAGCTGCCATTCAAACACAGTGATTTACAATCACACTTCAAATGTCAAATACAGAACGCATATCATAGAAGGCTGATTTTAGTACCGTAATGACATAAATACACTGTAGTTTATGCCACTTAGAGCAAAATGTAAGTCAGAGTGGAAAAAAGTATTTAGCAGGATTATTATATTATGAAACTTAAGAACTGTGTAAGCAAAGCAGCTTCAAAAAGGGATACTGTCTGTACTGGGAACTTAACCAGCTGTCACTCAACTTTCCTTTATCAGAGCTCTTTCTAAGATGGTTCCTAACTTGACCAAGTTGTAAGGTACACTGAGAAGTCTGAAGAATGGCAAAGAGTACATGTTATAGACAATAGCATCATCCACAGCACAATTTTCAGAGTCTCTTTTTTGGCAGTGGTTAGAGATGAAGCTAGTATTGACTGAAGAAAGCATGTTTTTGGCAATGTGTTTCTAACAGCAATGTAGAGAAGGCCAAAGCAGTTTCTGTAACATATCCAAAAGTCAACTTTTTTTATTTTTTTGGTTGAGTTTTTGGCATTTCTCTTAGCTCAAAGAAATTTTGTAGGTCCACAAAATGAATAGTTGGCTGGAGTTGCTCTCAGATTTTTGTAAGTTCTCAGTGCACTATTATTTTCAATTTCATAACGCTATTCTCTGGATGACAAGATTCAGAAAGAATCCATGTTCTGGATTGAGGGAAACAACGAAACAGCCAAAAGGAAAATCAGAGGGAGAGAGAAAAGGAAACCAGAAAGAAAACTTCTAAGTTCATAACTACTAAGGGTAACAGGAGGAGGTGGCGCCACAGATGGAAAGAGAAAAGGATGGGAAGCAGTGTACATCAGGCAAAGGAATGAGGGGAAAAAAAAAAGGGGGGGGGGGGGGATAGTAATCTGCACAATGTATTTCTGCATCTAAGAGACTAAGAGATTAAAGGCCTTGTTAAATTTATTGAAACAGGATCAGAAAGTTTGGGTGAACCTAATATTAAAATATCAACGGAAACATTAATCATTATTAAGGAAGAGTGATGGGGGAGAAGGATACTTGCATAGCATAATCCATGCCTGATCCATCTAACATCAAAGAAAATAACCTTGAATGCCTATGGATCAACATTGCACCAGCTAACGAATGAGGCAGTTTCTGCTATGAATGACCAAATCGCTGGAGAATACAAAATGACTGGCTCCTATTTATGATGTGCTGGGAGAAAGCTGATGTACATGGTACTGTAATCCTAGTGAGCTACATTTCATGCTGCTAATCCCTACAAAGTACATACGTATTTTAAATCAAATATCAAAACATTACCAAAGTCAATTTCTCAGCTCAAATGGTGCACAAGATGAAGGAATTCTATATTAAACCCTAATATTGGCAGATAAGGGGCGGGGGGGAAATTGTTGATACAAGCAGCATCTATAAACACAGTCAAAACCAACTTGTAAAGTATAGCTGTTCTTCAAAAAAAGGCATTTCACAAAGGTAAACACATTTACATGCTACACTGGTTATGAGACAGAATTTTATCATGTATCTATAAATGAAAATTAGGAATGGTTAAAAAAAATTTTACTTTCCACAAAAGAGCTTCTCACGTGAATTTAAAAAATGCCCTACAGGCAGTAAGTGAAAAAATATTAAAAGTGAATTTTTATTTTAATGAATATGAATTAAAATGCAAAAACTACTGGAAATGAATAAATGTTTCCAAAGATGAGGACAATAAAAAGATTTTTTTAAAAGGATTTAGGGAATAGAAAAATTCTGATATTGGCTTGGCAGCAAATGAAAACGCAAATTTTGAAACATAAGGAAAGTGCAGAAAAGGCTGAAGGTTTCAACAGATTTACCTGGACAGGGAAAAAGCATAATGTAAATCACTGTTATATGAAACAGAGTAACTATATTAAGACAGAGAGGAAAAAAGTAAGAAAATAATAAGGGATTCCCATATATGAAAAGTCTTTAATCAGGATTCTTTTCCAAGGAACGTGTACTGACAAAAGCAGGAAATAACTGAGGAAAACTTGCAGTGTATATTACACAGAATATCAGAAAAATGAGTATAGTGTTCTCTGGCCTAGCTTAAGAAAGAATGAACAAATATGAATTTAGTAGAAGCTGGGGGGGTGCGCAGAATTAAAAAAAGTGATTACAATGCTTTATTCAAAATATTTTCTGTAGAATTCTATTACCTATGAGATTAGAATACTCATATACCTTTCTGATGGCTGTGAAGATTTGTTTAGACTGAAGTTCCCAATAAATCTGGTAGTAGATGTGCTTCAGCAGTAGCGGTCTAATGATTAGTAACACCACCCTTAATATGCATTCAACTAATTTAAAATGTAGAATGTTAGAACTGTTGTCCTAAGAGTTCACATGCATCACTGGATAAAAATTTTACTAAGAAAGTCAGTATCTGAGAAAAATATCGCTCATCTGTTATAACAATGAACTTCTGCAAAGCAATGGAATTCATTGCTTAATTGAGTGTTGAATTTATATTTGTCCACAGGTTGTTCAACTCAGAGTTCAGGAAATCATCCAGACCATGATTTTCTGGTCTCATGGTTTCATTAACATGGGCAGGACCCAGACAGAGGATTGTAAGCCCTATAGACCTAAAATTCACATCATTGCTAGAGGCTATTAATTCAGAAAGGTCATGGTATCCTCTTTTATTTGAGGTTGGAAAGCAACTATCACTGCAAAGCAAAGGACTTATTTTGACTGAAGAAACATGAGTGTAAGGAAAGGAACCAGTCATCCAATTACAATTCAGCCACCAGTTCAAGAGAAGTAATACTGTATTTTGTGTTCAGCTACTGTGGCTCTTGAGTGCTCTGCTTGACAGTTCCATCTTCAAAGGCCACATGATTTACAGAGGACTCGTGACAGATCACATGAAGTGGGAGAGGGTCAAATAGACACATTTATCAACACTGTGAATAACTGAGTACCAGCAGAGAAATTAAAAGAATGGAAGTAAGTGGTACCAAGACACGTAGAACATACTAAAAGGGTTTTTGTTATTTTTTGCTTTTGTTTTAAACTACAAAAAAGACAGACCATCATCTCTGGAGTAAAAAGCCCACTGTACTGGCAGCCAGGCTGCCCAACTCACCTTTCATTGCTTCTGCTGATTGGATGAGCTCTGTAACAGCACCAGCAACCCGCTTGGAGAAAGAGGCCAACTGATGCTTTAGTTCTGGAGTTGGTTTTTGAAGGATCTAGAGAAAAAGTAAAAACATAAAAATGCATATTAGTAAGGATTCCAGAGAATGCTGGAGCATTTCCCAAGGCATACTAATGAAAAATTTGTTTTATACAGCAACTGGCTGAGACAAAACATGAGTCTAGTGAAAGAAATACAATTGTCAATGAGTCACTAGGAGGAAAGGCTTACACTGCAATGTCTGATACATACTAGTAAAGTAGCACTGCCTTGCATTTCTACAGGAACTGACAATATTATCTAGAATGCCTCAGAACTAAAACTAGGACAGAATTCTCCAAAACAGAGGTGCATGCGTGAGTATGTGGGAGGAACATGCAGCTTTAGCACTCCATTCTCAGATATTATAGTCATTATACTTAGGCATCAAGCTTAGTATTACTAAACTGCTGGAGAGGAGCTGACTTTCTAGTACTAACAAACTGGTTGGTCACTATTTCTAGAAAACAGAATTACAGAGTTCTGCAAGCTAGCACTAGTTGCCTGTTCTGGAAAAAAGATCAGCAATAGCGAACACAATGGAAGTGTCAACCCTGGGCAAGACTCTTAAATAGAAAGGAAATAAAGACACCTCTGAATTGAATTTGCATCAAATATTAAATTGTGCTTCTTCAAGTGTAAAACAGTCAGACATTCAGACAGTGAAGCTGAATTCTTCCCCTGAACATGAACAACATTTGCACTTTTAATACCGTACTGTAAGGAGAAAAATGATTAAGTTACGGAAATCCGTGTGTACTCAAAAACTACTTCTAAGAGAAGAGTGACAGATACATGGAGAGATTTAAAAGCAAAACAAGAGGTTAAGTCTCAAAAGTCACATTCAGGTGTGCATTTTCTTAATGTTTTCAAAAACTCCCCTGGAAAGCAGCTCTGAAAAGTAGATGTACATTGAAAATACATTTTATCTTTTTTTAAGTGCGTTTCCCATTTTGCAGTCAAACACCTAACCCCTTACTTTGACAGAACAAACTAAACTTAATTGTTTTCTTAACTTTGCCTTGTGAGAACTCTGCCACATGAGGAATTCTCTCTTTCTGGAACTGCCAAGTCAATGTATGGGGGAACTGGTCTCCTGCTTCCTAAGGATGATCTTTAGTCATCTAGTTTCCATAGTAGACAGAAGCAAGGTCTGCAAGGAGAAACTGTACCAACAGCACACAGTGGATGGCGTAAAAAAGAAACACCAAGTGCTCATAGTGGGTGACTCTGCTAAGGAGCCCTGAGGCACCCATCTGCCGACCTGACAGGGAGTCAGGTGAGGTGTGGTGCCTTCCGGGAGCCCGAGTCTGACATATTGCCGAGAGGGTGCCACAGCTTGTCAAGAGCACAGACTGTTATCCACTGCTACTCTTTCGTGTGGGCACGAATGACACTGCAAGTCAGAACCTGGGCAGAATCAAGCAAGACTATAAAGCTGTCAGGGTGCAAGTGAAAAATACTGGTGCCCAGATTATCTTTTCCTCCATTTTACCAGTCAGGGGAAAAGGGGCAGCCAGAAATAGATGTATAACCTAAATCAACTTCTGGCTTTGTGACTGGTGCTGTTGTGAGGGTTCTGGCTTTTATGACAATAGGACATTCTTTGATGACTATAACCTATTAGAGAGGGATGGAATCCACCTGTTGAGAAGAGGCAAGGGAATATTTGGCAGCAGGCTGGCCAACTTGGTGAGGCAGGCTTTAAACTGAAGGACTCAGGGTGTGGGGTCCAAAATGGCATCCCTGACACCATCGCATCCAACTGGGGAATAAGCCAGGCCAACCAGAACAGCGACAAGTGTTCCTTAGCTGCCTCCCAAGATAAGAACCAGAAGGCCAGCCACCTCAAGGGTGTGTATGGCTACAATGGATCCTCTTCCACCCCACCTGGGAAACCTCCATGTTCAATTATCTCTCCAAAATGCCTGTACACCAATGCATGCGACATGGAGAATAGACAGGAAGA